ATAGTGGGATTGACCGTTACATTATAACGCCCACATGGCTGAAAGGGCGAGCATGTTTGGCGGTACGGGAGTTCGAGCGCCCTAACCACCTGGCCATGCCGGTCCATATAACGGTGTTTTACATATATTGATAATAGTATTTAATCATATACATGTATAACTGCGTTTCCGTTTTTTTTAATTGAAATGGGACAAAATTAAAAACAAAATCGGAGAATAATATGCTCAAATATCACGTACAAAAATCCAAAATGGTTAGTTTATGATACATACGCTTTGAAAAAGTGGAAATAGTGAATTTACCATAGTTTTGGCAGTTTACAAGTTAGCTTTGATAAAATATTAAAGCTATATTAGCGGTTCAAAATATAAGATGAAATATTTCTGTCCTATTAAACATTAACTTAATTAAACATTAACTAATATTGAGTAAAACAATCATCCTCGTTTGCAGTAATAGGGGTTTTATTAGAACTCGTATCATTAAGTAAACTAAACTTTCAAACGAATATTTTGAAGACATTTTTTTAGCCTGTGCTGCCCTCTATTTATGTCTGAAGGCAGATATTGCAGAAGAAGTTCACTGCTAGTTTTTTTTTTTGTCCTTAATTTACCTGATGGGAACGTCATCTTAGATATGCTTGCTAACAAACTGATCAGAGTATTTTGATTTGCAAAATGGATATCTTTTTATGATGTTCATATCAGTAAATGCACGCGTCTCTATACTCATACAGCCAAATACTGGTTGATCGTCCTCTGATATTCTACTCTTTTGAGCAGCTATCTTCAAGATTATTTTGTTTTATATTTCAATATTTTCTTCCAATAGGAGATGTGATTTTAAGTTATGTATAGATTGAAGTAAACTACAGGTAGAAGTAAAACTTACAGTCGTGCAGGATCAAAAGCTCCGAAAGCGACGGCAGGTACCAAGCCATAGACACTACTTCTCAGTTTCGAAATGTTTACTAAAGTTTCTAGTTCGGCTAGTCGTTGATCAGAGATTCCACTGCGCCTTTCTCTAAAATAGAGGAAATAAAGAAATAGGTTTTTTTTTAAGTCCATATGTTATTCAAAATCGGTGTTGGGCGGATTTTTCGGTAAAAAGGACACAAATTCCACTCTGCTTAATGATGACGAAAGCGTTTTATTTTTTCGACTACACGTTCTACAAGATAATTTAATCAATGTTCACTGGTAGGCCTAAATTTACATGAGATGTTAATAGTACAACAAGTTCATTTAAAATGTTGCTTATTTTATCTCTCTTAAAAGCGTACGGTTTATTTTTCATGGCTTCATTGAAACATAAACTCAGTTATCACCACACTGAACTAACTAACTAAATCATATATAGCTTACTCGTTCATTAACTAACAGGCTAAAAATCAGTAATCATCTACTTTAATCTAACTCGCGACTTATACTGCTCAAACTATTTTAAAATAAAATTCCAAACGTTAAGCCACGCGTTTATCATGAGATGTAAAACCCTTCTCTTACAAAACAACAATACAAATGTCTAAATTCAAAATACAGTCTACAATAATAAACTTATAATAAAAATCATCAAAGAGGCTTTTATTAGCATAATAATTACAACTTGAATACTAAGTTATATAAAATCATCACCCTATAAATTCATAATTATATTTTAAGGAATATTAATGCTAAAATCATAAATAATATTCAACGTTAAAC